GTGATGTGAAAAAAGAGAGAGAAAAATGTGCTATTTCTTTGTGACCTATCTGAGAATTTACACTTTGCGCTTTCTAGCCAAGAACTTATAAATATGCAGCAGCTATAAACAACCAAATCTTGATGTAGCTAAATAAAATTTTTAAAAAGTCAACATAGACAACTACAAGGAAAAGACTAATCCTGACCTTACTCCTTTCACATATTGACTGAGCCCATGAGCATGAACTATATTATTACTTTTGACATAAACATAAATTCACTGTTGGAAGGATGTCTCCTGCATTGTCTGTTAATATATCAAATTGTTACAAGCCATTTATTTCCAATTATTTATTAATTTTAAAATAACTATTGGACACCTTCTCCGAAATAATAGATGAAGGAAAGAAATCACTTCTGGATAATTGATAGCCTTCTGATCAGGACACAGGTAGGAAGCAAAGAGCAGCTATGCAGGGACCTGAGTCTGTATATCCTATATGTCTAGTGAACTCTCTTCCGCCACTCTGTTCTGATGAAGGTGTGTTTTTCCAAGTGGAAGAACAGATTAAAAGTTCAAAGAAATTCAAGAAGACTTAAGTTTACAAGGAATAGGAAACTTTGGAAATGTTTAAAACATTTTGCTAAATATAAAATTTATTTCTCACTCTATCCTATCCTGAACAAATATTAGCCTCCATAATCTCCTCTCTAGCCCCCATGTTTGACTATGGCAAAGATAGGTGATATCAAGTGTGGTATAACTAAATGAACCAAAAGCTTCTTCCTTGGGCAAAGAAAAATACAATTAATTAATGTTCCCTAATATTATTGAATGATATCAAGGTAAACATTTTTTTACATACCACCAATAATTTTACAGATATTAAATGAATACCCAGAATAAAAATGGAGACAACCCACTAGGGTCTGGAAAAGGAAAACCCATTTAAATAAGCATTTGAATAAAATGTGTGGAAAATATAAGATGCTGCAAATCTCAAGGGAGATATTGCACTAAATGTGAAGCATTTCTTTTGCAAAGGTATGAATATGGTAAACTTGGAATCACTAAATATTAGAAAGATTAGTACATAAAATGTTGTTGAAAGTTTAGTTAAATAAAAGAATATATTTCCTTGAAGCTGAAGAAAATAAACTATTTCTCTGGACTAGGTCTGTCTATTGATTTTTTTGCAGAACACATTTCCTCCTGTCTTTATTAACTTAATTTTCTGGAAATTACTACCTTCAAAGTTAGGAATAAGCAACACTAGAGTTAGGACTGGAGAGGACCTCAAGAAATTAGTTATTTAGTCTCTTCTCAAATATTATATATCTGTTAGCCTTGGTTAACAGATGTATGGCTAGCCTATTTTAAAAGATCTTCAAGGAATGGGAACTTAGTAACCCTTCTAGATCCTCTTCTCCCCATTATTGATGATCATTATCAGTAGGATGGTTTAACTAATGCCAGACCTGATTTTCTGTAATTCTATTCTGTTACTTTCTCTGGTAGCCACTCTGACATGGAAAACTATTCAATATTTGTTTCTTTTTTATTATGAAACATTATGAAACATCTTTCTTCCTTGCCCTCCCTATCTTTTCTTTTTGGGCATAAATTATGTTAGTTCAATTTGTATTCCTTCTTGTATCAAACATTCTGGACATCTGATTATCCTTCTTCTTAACCTCAGTTGTTCCACATTTTCTGGAAGAAAAAGGTCTACACCAAGCAAACAGAAGCTGAACTCTGTCCAGTGCCAAGGATAGAGTAACCTGCCCAATGCAGATAGGAAAAGAAAATACCTTTCCTTGTTTTGCAGGTGTACATTGCAATGCAGGTTTTGTTTTTTCTCATAAAGAATGATGTGTTATTAACACATGTTCAACGTCTGACTCCTTTTATTACTCTTAAACCCCTGACAGAACTGATGCCTCATTAGTTGTTTCCAGACTTCTCTGTGCACTTCTGAACTCACTGTTAAGAACTGAATTTAAAAATCCTCCTTTCTTGTTGTTTTCTGTACCTTTTGTATCAAAATATGCTCATCAACACAAGCTACCTCACAGTCAGGGTGCTGCTGCACTCCCTTCTCTACATATACTCAGGCCACTCAAATTTCCTGTGAGCTATAAATCCCATTAATGTTGCTATTAAAATTCGAGCGGGGAGGGGGGTTGGCATACGGAGATAAAAACCCAAAAACCAACCAAACAAAAACAAAACAAAAAAAGAAACCTAGAACCAAAACAGAAATCTTTTTCCTCTTCCTTACGTTTCCAGTTCTATAGTAACTTATAGATCTTTACATGGTATTTTGTTTCTTTTCTCTAGAGACTTGAAATATGTCTGTACTTTTCGCAACAGCACTAAGGCACTCTCCTCCCTCTTTTCTTCCTAATATTTCCTAAACTTCCTATTTTCTTGTATTTCCTGAACAAGTTTACATTCTTACTCTAATAATGGAAATTATTCCACAGTATCCATTATAATTCTCTTTTTTATCCCCCATATATCTTGCACTTATAATTTGTATGAAGACAAAATCTGCATCTCTGTCTTCTCCCTGCTTCAATTCATGCTACGAATAATAACCCAATACCTTCTGTTTCAGGATCTTTATCTGAGTATTTTTCACATTGTTCTGTGGAGTTTCGTTATTCTCCTGTCAATCTTGGGAGTAAACTTAATATTCGTACTCTTTTTCATGAGATATACTCTAATCTCAGTTTAAATCTCCCAACATAACATTGCAAGGCTGAATAATCAGGGTGGTCTAGTGAAACCATCTCTGTGGGATGCATCCTTCACTACTGCAACATTAATGCAACTTGCACAGATATACCTTTAGTAATACTTTTTACTTTGAAATTTTATTTACCAAGAGAATTCTTCTTAAGAAAAATGTTTATCCAGACGAAGTTTGACAGAGCAACACGGGAGTTTTCCTCTAAGTGTTAAATTAGAGCTTCCAAATGAAAGGGTTGTTTGAAAATCCAGCTGTGCCCCTCAGATCAGCTAAATGCTTCTGTAGTCATTATACAAGATTGATGAGAACCTCCTTGACAGATCCTCCTTGATTTGGACAACTGAAGCTAACAAGGCTCATACTCAAATTATTCTCACAGCACTAAATAAATACAAGCTTTTTAATTGCTTATTATGTTTTAATGAACCAGTTGAACATGTTTTGGTTTAATTGTTTTTTTTCATATTTGACCTTTTTCTAACTCTTCCTCCAATTTCCAAGCCTGTAAGTATACTTATTTGATACTAGTCCTCATGTTTTTTATCCCTCTTAGATGTTCCAAAATGGTTCAAAATGTTGAAGATCTTGTAACAATGAATGTACATTAGATTGCAGCTATCAGCTGTACTCTTAGGCTGAAAATTCCTTTTAATCTTGGGCTAGCAAAGCCTTTCTAGACAAATTTCCTTTTGAAATAAAAGGTAAGTACTAAAACTTCCACTGCACTGTTTTCCTATTACTCCTGAGCATTACTGTTGAAGACCAAGATGGCATTAAGTTGGGGTACTGTCTGCCTGGCCAACTTTAAAACACATTCATAGACATAACAAGCATGAAAGTTAGTTACAGAATCACCAAGACTTTTACATTTATGCAAACAAAAATACAATAATATAGTTAGTATTTTTCTCATCAGGAAAACTTCATTTTTATTTGCCCTAATTGAAATTACTGAGTTTTACTATTATCTTCAGGTAAATCAAAGTTGATTACACGTTCAGAACCAGCTTCATGCAGTGTGGCTGCATGCCTTTCAAAATCTCACCCGATTTAGAGAAATCAGTGAATTGAACCTATATACTTAAAGCGAATAACAGAGATTGTTCCATAGAGTAATTTCATTACATATATTATTCCTAATAAACATAGTCAAACAACGTAGCAGTTGTCTGATAGTTTTCATTTTCTCTCCCAGGAAACAGCCAAATACTATTTTTTTCTAATTCTAGTTAAACATATAGACTGTAAGTTTTTGCATCAGAAGCTACCTACTCATCCTATAAAGCAACCAGTGTAGTAAGTTTGAACAATTAGAAAGGCCTTAGAAAATGTTCGAATTGGAAAATTGTTAAATGATGACCGAATAAAATCAAAGTTTAATCAACTCAGCTCCCCAGCATGGAGACTAAAGGATGTCACAATAGTGTTGAAGAAGCATAAATATAAGAAGAGGAAATTTGAATGAGGAGGTTTTTATATGTATTAGGAAAAAAAGAGCTAGGAAATCTAGCTAGAACCTGGCATCTTAGTGAGGAAGAAAATAAAGTGATTTGGTTTCTTTAAGAACAAAGAGCATAAGTATTTGAAAAGTGTCTGTGGGAGTGTGGTAGATTCTCCATGATACACACTCTCTAAATCAAGTTTGAATGACTTTCTGAAATACAAGCCTGGGTTCAGTCAGACAGTTTAGGCTTGGTGCAGGAGCTGCTGGAAGTAATTCCCTAGCATGCATTATGCAGCAGGATGAGCTTTAAAATCTACTGAGAAAATGTTTGGGCCAAAATAGCAGCTTGCACACACTGATACAACTTTTTAAAAGCCAGTTGAGTTGTATTGATTTACACCAGCTTCTGATCTTGCCCTTGGAATATAATTTACTGCTGTCATTATGCAATAACACCCAGACCCTGTCTGTTTTTCATGCCGTAATAAGAGCAGCTGTCTTTGCGGTTTGGGGCCTGATCCAATTACACTCAATGGGAAAACTCCCATTTAGTGCAGGCACACAATTAGATGGTTACAAATTGGTCACAAATAAATTCAGACTGGAAATTAAAACTATTCCATCTGAGATTGTTTTTTCGTTATCTGGTAAAACGCTGGAGCAGCCTCACAAACAGATTAACAAGTCAAGGAACATGTTAAAATTTAGACTGAAAATAGGGAAGGGACTATATAACAAACAGAAAAAGGGGGGAGGGGTGTAACAGTATTTACGCTGTACCTGCCTTGTCTCCGGTAATTTGTAACACAGTGACAGCACTCATTTGAGGCAGAGAGGAGTGGGACTTGGAGGTCTAGGGCACTTGAGGTCGTGGTGTCTCTAGGAGGATTTGAAATGAACCTGTAGCTCTATTGCTTCATAACACCTTTTAGGTGTTATTAGTCCTCCTGATGGGTTCTGTAGACAGCAAAAGTGTGCAGGGAGAGCCTTCAAGGTGTGGAGCAGCTATGGTTTGTGAGTCTTTATAACCTTCCCAGGGCCTGGAAAGCAGTTGTGATCCAAGGCAGAAAGCAGGGGGGACTCCCGCTGTAAATAAATGAGATTAACTGGTTGTGTGCTTTGGGGTCCTGCTCACTTTTACAAGGTTAAACCATTTGCCAGATCTTATGTCACCAGGAATTGCTTTCACCAGGCCCCTAATAATTAGTGTTTTGAATTTTTTTTTTCCTTTTACCTTGAAATATCTGCATTTTCTTTAACATGCTACCTTACCACTTAGGACTTTTAAAAAATGTTTGATCTGTCTTCCACTGGCATATTCTGGTTATGGGGTTTTCTTGTGGTTTAGCACATTGTAAGCAATTTTTAGGGAACCAGGAATTGTTCTGTTATATAGCAGATTATACTGTAGACTTTTCTGAACCAAATATCTGCTATAGAGTTTCCTCTAGCTGTGATACAACTGATGAAATGAAAGTGAGCCCATTTAGTCTTGTTTTTTCTATTTATGTTGTCTGCTGTTGAACACAGAGTATTTTATTTTTGTCTTTTATTCCTGTCATTTTTTTATTATTATTATTCCTGTCTTTAGGCATTCTGCTATATCTTTGAAACAGGAAGAGCACAGTCAGACACAGCATCTGTAAAAGGAGCCCAGACAAATGAATGGGAGGCATTCTGATCCCAGGTAAGGCCAGGGTTTTTCTTTATTTGTCTTACTTATTATTCTACCACCTCAAATGTTACGGTTATTTCTGTCACACAAAACAGAACCTGAAACACAGTAAGAGCAGCATCAGTGCTTTCCCAGAAGCAACTCTTTCAGTATCAAACCAAAAAGGATTAGTACATAATTAAGATACCACAGATAGGTTTCATTTGACTAAATATAGATATTTACAATATGATGTTAGTTATATTCCTAAATATAAATTGAAGTGCTACTGACATGAAAGTTTACCATTCCACTAAAGAAGGAATTTAGGGTAATGAACTCAGATATAGACATTGTCATTGCAGGCACTGAAAGTTAGATTAGGTACATTTAATCCTAAATTCCACTACTGACCATTTTAGGAGATATCAATATAATACACTAAGTTTAACGAAAATGTTCCTTGTTTTCCCAGTTTATACAGTCTGATGTTGAAAATAAATAAAAATAAAATAAATAAAGCTGACTTAGCTAGCCATGTAGGAATCTTGCAAGGATGGGAGGATCAACAAGGTGCATATGTGCATTGCTCTGAAACTCTTTACAGCTTGCCTTGCCTTAAGAAACATGCCCTGAAGAATAAAAATATATATGGAATACTCTTCTTTTCTCATGAAATATCAGTCACTTGAAAAAGTCCCTCAGCAGAAGTCAGAACAATTTAAACTTACCAAGCTAAAGTTAGGTACTAGTAAATAGTAGTAAACAGCATTTTGGAATTTCTCTTCCTATCCTGTCAGGCATGCACAGCACACACTAGGAAGAACTAAAGGTCTATGTGTCATACATAAGACATGCAAAACTTCAAGTATATATGACTTAAAGTACTTAAAAGGTGAGCACTATAGACTGCATATTTTTATTAATAATATAGAAAGATAAATCACTTGATAAATTTTTTACATTGCTTCTATATTAATTTCCTGGCCTAGAAGTAGTGGAATACCTATAGACAAGAAGTAACAGAAAATGTTTTCTCTCTGATTCATTTTTGTGCATGAGAGGAGTTTACACAAAAATGCATCCTATTTTTACTCATTATGTATAATTTTACACCTATTTTTCTCATAAAAGAATGCACATACATGCACATCTTGGTGCAATCGTTTCCATTCCTCAAGTACCTATATTATCAGTGCTACAACTGCTACCCTTCAGATAGCTTTCCATTCATCATATAATAGATAAATGTGGCTGATTCCAGGGCAGCTGAGTTGTTTCCATGGTTTGGTTTCAATGGTAAGGGTTTATTCAGCAAGGCATTTAAGCCTGTGTTCAATTTAGAGCAATTGGATAGTCCTGATATATCCTGCTAATTAGGCACCTGTCTACATCAGTCGGAATTAGTGATAAACCCAAATGTTTTTTCTGAATCAAGGCTTAAATTTAAGGGTACTTACTCTACTAGTGAAAATTCAATGGCAGCCTTAGCAACAGCCATTGGATAGAAAATATTGATTCTGCTCGCAGGGGTTCCCACATTTTTTATTTTTTATTTATGTGTTTCCTAATTAGAGTCAATTTTAAAAAAAAGCAGATTATTAATATAATAAAAGGTAGAAATCAGTCTTCCACTAGCTTTATCTGCTAACATCTCACTTTAATTGTGATCAGTTCACAGACATTTTTGGGCAAATTAAAAACCAGCTTACAAATCAGTGAAAACGCTGAAAATTATCAAAACTCAAAGGTTAACTTCTTACACTAAACCAAAATTAGATGATAGTTCAATAAATATAGTTAGCCATGCAGAACTTAAAAGTAAAAATGTCAGAACACATATTGATTGAGAAAGCTGTAGTACTTGGATTTTGAAAATTCTGGATGTCTTTTGCATGCTCTTTTCACAAAGAATGGATTGTATCTGGGAATCATAGAGATATTGGGAATAGTCCCATTGGAATAAAGAGAAAGATCTGCTCACCACGTGTAAGAATAATGTATCACAATGATATACACAATTTTCCTCTAAAATATTTGCTAAAGTAACAAAATGTACATGAAAGTTGTCAACCAAAGTTTCTGCCGAATATCAGCACAGCAATTTGTATCCCTTGCTTTGAAGTTTGTTTGCAGAAGTGGGCACGGTCATGTAATGCAGAGTAGGAAAGGACAGGTGTAGTGATGGCCTGCCACTACAGAAAAAGGAAACTTTGAAGAGACAATAGAAGTGCAAAATGCTTGGAATATGTGTTGATTCACAAGCCTCAAAATAATTATAAAAGACAATCTTAGAGATATCATGTAGCTTTTCACTGTCTCTGGAAAGTGACCTTTTGCTTAACTGTATAATCAGGGAAAATAACAATGCAATAACATTACAGCTTCTTTATTTTACTATAATTTGATATATGATATGATTATTTTTAATAAACTTTATTGGGGTAAAAGAAATGGTGAAAATGTAGCCCTATTCTGATAAATAGCAATTCAGCTTATCTAGAAAAGTAATATTTGATAACTTGTAAAACTCTGAAAGCTCAGGATTCTTCCAAGCTCTGCATACCAGTGTCTTAAAGGCATCTACCATTAAACACTTTCTAAAGATTGATCAGTCACAGCTGTATCTCGTCTTCATTTATATATCATCTGTGATTTAAGTTCAGATGAAATATTTCTGAACTTTGGAGACATTCACATCCTGTGAGATATGGAGGTAGATTCAATTAATTTTGGTTTTTGACAGGCCAAAATTTGAACCCTACTTTTACATTTACACTTCTATAATTGGAGTCCCAACCAGCTTGAGTGTTGAAGGTCCATCAAAGTTATCCACCACCAGGTTTAAAGCACCATATCTTGGGATCATCAATATGATTGAGCTAGTCCCCTTTCATAGCTTTTACAGCTACCATAGAAATGCAGGTGTACTAAATGCTAACATGATAGCAATTACTGTATTAATGTGATGGATCTGTACACATATAACTGAGTGGAAAAATATGCCCTATCAATTCTGTTATTGTTACGATCAGACACAGGGAAGGTGGACTCCAAATATTATTTGATGGTCTTTTAAGTCTTTTGCTTCTCTTAAAAAAAAAAAAAGAAAAAGAAAAAAACACCACTAAAATTTCAGGAGTGTGTATCTATAGATGTATATAATTTATAATTCCAATTAAAAAAACACTTAAGAGGTGGACTTAATTATCAAAATATCATTACTTCTCCCGCCCTTCTCTGATATCATCTTCAAGAAAGATCGATTAGTTGGAATGTCTCAGAAACTGCGAAAGTGAGCAGAAAATCAACCCTTACAAGCACACAGGCATTCAACATCTTGTTTCCTGTTGGATGACCTAGCATAAAATCATACATGTTATGTTATTGTCTTATTATATAAATGTGCCTCATTAATGTTATTGATTACAGTTTTATTTTGCTTTTTTGATACATCCAGAAGTTCTAACCGACAAAAGAGGTTCACTGGACAGCATGTTCTACAAACAGGTGACATGAAACTTTATGAGCACAGGAGGATTTGCACTTTAGGAAGGCAGGAGGAGGAGGAGAAGATAAGAACTGAAGTGATTTGCTTGAGGTGGTTTTTGCAAGGTCTGGAACCACTGAACTACAGTGCCACCTTCCTAGGAGTTTCTCTGGGTTTCTGATGAAGATTGATGAAATATTCATTATTTCATTCTTTAAATCAAAATTAACACATTCTTGATAATCTTTGTTGTGTTTCTGGACTGCCTAAATGTTCTGGTCAGAGAAAATAGATCAGAAATAAAGAGGGAACATGTTTTATGATGTTTTATAATTTAAGAATTGACAGGACATCACTCTAGCGTGTGTTAGAAAGAACTATCACTGTAAGACTAACCTGATTCCATGAAGAAATACAGGAAAGAACAATTTTTCTGCCTTCAATAAATCTAAGATTCGTTAGCAATTTTAGAATCAGAAATTCAGTTGCTTGTGCTGTATCTGTAATTTACTTTTCATAAAACTACATGGGAACTGCTTAAAAAAATCCAACTTTAAAAAATCCTATTGGTTGTTCTGCGTCTTGCCTCCACCACACACAATAGCAAATACTTACAATGAGAATAGCTCCACTGGAGCAATACTAATACATTTGCCACAGTTCCCACTCTGTCATTATGCACAGGAGCCTGTGCTTATCCCCTTTTTAAATTGGAGACTCTTTTAACCAGGAATCCCCAGGATGAAACTGAACCATTTTCCTCACGGCAAAACAAATCCTTCTCTGGTGAATTTTGTTATTGTTTATTGTTACAGTGTTTTATCAGCACTAAACTGTATGAAAGCTTCAATTAGTTCTTGATGAATGATCCCATAAAATCATGTAGTTTCATTTCCCCTGCCACTAGATATTTCACTGACTGTTATTAAATGAAATATAATTGGGACAGGATTCAGGAAACTTAGAGTCTTCTTATTTTCCTTTTTGCACTTGAACATTGGAGTGTGCCTCAAATATTTCATTTTTTAAAGGTGATGGCTTTTTGTTTTAAACTGACAAACGCTCTGTAGTTCTAACTATTGTTTAGGGTTGCCACACCATTAGCATTAAATGCAAGAGTAGGAAAATACAGATATTTCAGCCATTTTCTGCACCTTTCTCCTCTGTCAATAGCTTTGTAAATTTTGCATTATGAAGACTAAGATTCACTGGAAAGAAAAACATTCTTCCCAGCTCCCGTGAATAACAATGTTGTATTTTTCTCTGATGAAACTCCATTGAATGCGACATAATTGCAGCAAGAATGAATACAAGGTTTCTTACTATACATTTAAATTCTGGTTTATTGTGATTAGTGTTCTGTGTTTTGGGATAGAGAGTGTGCTTCAGCAGAATCCAGAGAGCAAATGCTCTCAGCAAGTAATTTAAACTTTCTTTGGAAAGGAGCAATTCAAATGCACTATCACTAATTTTGTCCTTGTTCCTAGGTTTCATATCCAAATACAGAATCTACCGAGCAGAAGAATCAGCATCTACATTCACATTTATGATATCTGGCTTACATGAGAGCTTTCCAGCAACAAAAAGCCTGTTCTGAACATAGTTATCTCCCTTTTATCAAATTCTCTGGCATAAATGCTAGCCAAAAAAAAAAAAAAAGTCAGTAAAAGATTGTCACATCTGGATGGAGGGACTAACTGTCAGATCTCATAATGGAAGGAAATTCCTCTAACTACTTAAGGACTCATTGCAGCCTGCCCAGAGTTGTCAAAGTATCCTTTGACTTGTCTATTCACTTCTTTTCCTCACACGTTGCAAGTAGATTTAGCCAATGGTGCTGTTGGATATACACACTGCTGCAACTATCAGTGCTTCATAGCAAAACACAGTTAATCTGCTGAATGGGATAAATGTGTTTATTGGTATCAGACCCAAACATCACCCACCAGATACATCTAAGTAACTTCCAAACAGAAGATGCTATTTTCAGTAAGAAAAAAAAGTGGCAAATATCAGACTAGTCTATCATCAAAGAAGTGTAAAGATATTTATCATATACTGTAAAAGATTTTTTCCCTTTATATAGTCGAAAATGAGGCTACTATCAGGCATCATATTCTTAGCACACATTTTTGGATCAGTTAAGAAGCAGGAAATCAAACCATCAAACATCACTAAACACAAGATATGAAAGCTTCAGATTTTACAGTTACATCAGAAAATAAATCATACAGCATTGTGAAACAGAAGAAGCCAATAAACACATGAATGGAGCATGATATTTTTGCTTCTACAGGTAAAATTTAGTTATTTCTACCATTTCTTCAGTAAGTCAGAAATTTTACTAGTAAATCTCAGTGTTTGGGTTATACATTCACAGACCCTGGGAGTCAGGGAAAATTCTTTCCTACATGATTGTATTATTGACCGATGAGGCAAAAACATGCAAAAAAAGACCCCAGCCGCCTTCTGATTAGGAACTCAAGAGAACTGACTTCTCATGGTGGCTTTGATGCAGGCACTTTCTGTCAGACAAGCCATTCTCCATCTCAAAAAACCAGGGTTCTTCTGCTTCCTGAAAACCCATGATAAATTCATTCCCACTAGAAGGACATGCCTGCATTCATATCTGGAAAGGATGCTTGTGAGTAGCTCAAGCCACCTCAGTATCTCTCTCCTTTCGCCCAGCATGGTAGCTGGACTCATTGCCCACCTTATCTGGGCATTTTTGGCATGCCTGGAAGGTAACTCTAGCCATTGATAATGACTTTAATGTCTGTGTTAGCTATCCCTACCAAACAAAATGCTAAAATACAGGGGAGGGTGAGAGGAGAACACCAAACCCTTGAATATTTATTCAAGAAAGTACATCTTGAAAGAACATACCCAGCAACAGTACAAAAGAGATATATGTGCTTCCTGATAGAGTATTTGGACTCCCAGTTAACAAGCATTATAAGTGGATAACTGCACTCCAAGAATATTTCTTCGCAACTCTTGAAGAATACTTTTGAGTTCCAGAGATCAAAAGAGCTACATGAACCAAGTGTTATTGGTGTATTATATTGAGATCAGTTATAAATAAAAGAAGATAAAGGAAAATAGTAAAGTCAAATTGTTTTCTTCTTTCATTCTTTTCTTTTAATCAATATTTGTTTTTAAAAGCAAGAGAGTTCTACAGGGCTCTGGTTAAATAAGACCCTTTCTGTAATTATAAATGTACACATGTAAGAGTCCTTTTAAAGGAAAATAATAGCCTACTGGGTATTTGTGAGAGAGGGTTTGTTCTCTTACAAATTTTCACAGTGCTCTGGGAGTTAGTCCTCTGAGGATTCTTAGTGCTGGTGGGCTCCCACTTTAAAGAACTTCAGATTGCTGAGGGTGGTGTTTCCCCTTTGAAGACTGTTACATTTTTTAACAGATTCTCCTTTGAAGATATTCATATCTGTGGGGTTCTCCAAAAGAGTTGGGGGAAAACTCCCCTGTTGATGCTATTTACCAGGTTAGAATTTCAAACTTGGGAAAAATAGCTGATCCCTGAGAGGAGGCTGCACTTTTTGAAGCAGTTCAGATGGTTTCAGTAGGCTTTACTTCTGAAGTTCTTATTGCTAGAAGGTGTCTGGCTTTAAAACTTCATAGTATACAATGTCAGAGCAATACTATGGAGAAAGTAGCATTAATTTTTTTAAGGAAATATGAAGTAGGCTGCTATGAAAACCTTTTTAAAGGCACACAACCTGTTTGCTTGTTTGATAAATGCACAATTTGTGCTAAGTGTAAGGACTGTGCTCTCTCTGCTACAATAATCTCAGCAGAAAGGTTCTTAGCATGCAAAGTCTGTGATACACAACATTCGACAACTTTAAAAAAATATTCTGGATACAGTACAACTAAACTTGGATTAAACAGAGGTAAAAGACAAACAGATGCAAAGACAAAGTAAGTTGTTGGCTGTTGGAGGGAAGACTGCAGAGCACCAGGACTGATGGCTGTTCTTTCAGAAGACCAATAAGGGGTGCCTGAAGTTTCTGGTCCATTTTCTTAAGTAGATTCCAGAGGGAAAATCTGAAGATGATAATGCACTTTTTCTTGCATAAAGTGTGGCTTTAGCTCCTCAGAAGCATATAGATTATAAAGAAACTCAGTTCTTAAGATCTCATCTAAATATAAATTGCAGCAAAGTGCATTGGCCATTAAACAATGAAGAGCTACACTGCTTCTTTGAGAACTTGAATCTGAGATTACTAATTACTTACTAATCTGAGTTTAATATGACAAGAAATTTAGAAAAATGTCACTCTTTTCTCAAAGGGTAAGGTTTTGTGGGAATGTTCTACTGTGGGCACTGCCCTCATTCTATTCTGTCAAATGTAAGGGTTAAAACTACGTGTACACACATACAGAAAGAACACTTGAACAACAAACTCCAACAACAAACAAATACCGACTTCTTCATATTTTGACATAAGCTTATGTAGACACACTGATAATCTACAACTCTGGTGGAGTATTTGGGGTCAAAAAGTATGATTTCTTGCATTGAAATTAAAGAACAGAGAGGAGATAAGATTTATAAATGGTTTCCCAAGTAACCTTGTGTATTTGTCTTGGCTTTAAAAAGGCATCAGGTAAATAACATTAGATGGTGAACACACAGAGAAAAACCAAAATGGAAAAAAGAAGCCAGCAACAGCATAGTATATACTGATTAATGGATGCTATAGATATCTTACTGCTCTGTCTGCTTGGTTAGCTTTGTTTCAAATCTGATACAGATCTCATGCTGCACAGCAGATCCTGAAATAGTCTGTGTTCCTTTAAATTCGGGCAATGCATCACTTTCTATTACCCTGTGTCACATCAGTCTATGACTGTAAAGGATGAGTTATGTGGACATGAACCAGCATGAGGGCCCAGTTCAGACAAATCTTTCACGAGAAAGTCAAATGTTCACATAGACAAATTCTTTCATTTTATTATAGCACACATTGTTTATGTAGAAAAATTTAGAAAGGAAATTACTTGCTGCCTTACATGTTACAGTCCACTAGGGGTTCTTTTTTTTTAAGGCAAAAATTCCTTGGGAAACATTTTACCAGTAGCCATTACAGTTATACAGTGCCCAACTTCCACTAGAAAAGAGAATCCATTTGCCAAATCTTCTTTAGTTCAAAACCCAGAAACAGATGCTGTTAGCTTCATAGAACTACCTCCTTGGCATTGAAGAGCTTTATTGTAATTAATACCAACATTCCTCAGTATTTTTCTTGTGCTGCAAAGAGGTACTAAAATGGGTGTGCTGACAAGAAGGTTTAGTGGAAAAGGATCTCTCAGACTGTGGTTCACACCGATCTTTTGTTCTAGAGCAGCATGCAGTTAAACCCAAACTTTCTTAGCATCAATGTAGCCTTATATGTTAGCACAAGCACCAATTTTAGACTACAGCACATCAACCAGGTGTCCAGAAAGGAAAACTAAAGACATAGGCAGTCCAGCAAGATGGAGCCAAATGTCTCCAGCTCTTTACACTGAAACTTCGATACTAATAGCAAACAAGTTAAACATTACAGACCCATAAGGTAAAGTCTAGAAGGAATTTTCAGATTCTAATCATAAAGCGAAAGAATTCCCTTCTGCTGCCATCCTTAACTACTGTATTTATTAATGTTATGCCTTCAAAAACAGAATTTTAGATGCCATGAAAAAGCACTCAAAAAGAGTAAGGGAACATAAATTTGATAATTAGGAAATATGAGTAATCACTCTTCTAGGAAATGACTGATTTCTAAAAGACTAGCAAAACTACAGCAAACCCACAGCAAACCCTACAGCAAACACCCACATTATCTCAGAGGAGAGGAAGAAAAGAAACAGAAACACAGGAGAACAGCAAGGGTGGCTCCCCAGGATCCCTGCTGCTCCACTGCACAGCTGAAAGTGCAATATGTATCCAAGATGTCAACACTGTTGATCTCAGCAGTCTTTCCCAGTTTGCTTTCTCATCTTTTCACAGATTTGATTTTTCACTAATGTTTTATAAGAGGAGAGCCTAACTGCTTTTCCTGCAGCATAAGCCCAGCATGGGAAACATAACTGAACTGTTCACAACCCAAATGTGTCTCAGGGACCTGTGCTGACCACCACTGTGTTACACTGCCAACAAAACTGTAGACTGTTATAAGGCTACAAGGCTGAATTCTCTAATGTCCAAAAAGTGCCTTAAGATTACACACAGAAATCAATGGGGCTCAAACAACAAAAAAAGGTGAAGTACTAGCCTCAAAAACAAGTCAGCTGCACACAAAGTGGCCACACACAATTCTTTGGTGTCATAAACATACAACAAAAAGGATACAATTTTACCCTTAGCTTCATAGACAAAGTGGAAAATAAAGCCATAGAAGGACACTCTTCCAGAATATCTGTCTTGCAAGACAGATGTGCAAGATGAACATCAGCTAGACTAGAATTAATATCTTTTGGCTGTCTTTAACTGCACTCCCAGGATTTCTAAAGAGATTTTTCTGTTTAAAAGTGAATTTTTTTTTTGTCTTTCAATCTTAATATTTGCAAAGTTGAGAAAAATGGAAACATTCTCAGAAAGGCTTTCTCCCTTCCCATAATACCAGAATAGAAATTGTGACATCAATGACTGGAGCATTAA